GTCACCCTAGTTGTCGTAGGCTCAGCAACTGGTGTAATTCTTTTCACAGTCTTGGCTCTTCTTTTGTTAATTTTTATTGCAAAGAAGAGGCGCTGTCCTTGGTTTTCTTCCTTTAGACACAGTCACAGTAGTGGTATCGGCTCACTTAGGTCAGATTTGGATAAATTCTCCCAACCTGACAGGTCCTTAAAATGGACCAATGAGATGGTAGGAAAAAGGGTTAGGGAGAATTGATTTTTTGATCAGCAAGAATGTGCGCGCGCAAGAGTAGTGCCCAGCCCCTGACGGATACATTTTACAAATTGCTTTTATTCATTTTTTCAAAAAATTACACTGCTTCTTTCAATGCTTGGTTTACTCCAAATCCTGCGGCTCCGCCCAGGGCACCTAGACCAATGGCTTTTCCTCCTGCAATCAGTGCGGGGATGAGTGCGGCTAAGGGTAATATTCCACCTTGTTGTCTCATTTTCCTTCCTGGTTTTCTTCCCCTTTTCCTTGGTCTTTTCCTTTTGCGTCCTTTAGGAGTGCGTCTGACCATTGTTAGAATCGATTAATCACACTGATAAAATCAGCCTTATTAAATAGGCTTCCTTTTCGACGTTTTATTCTGTTGACTATTTTTTTAGCAGATTTTTTGGCCAATCTTTCAGTAGCGAGGGTATTTTGATAGGGATTGGGACCAAAAATTCCTCCGCGTTGTGTCTTTCTTTTGGGACGACGTTTGCGCATCTCTTATTAGTAGAAAATAAACATAGACTCTTTTCATGCATTTGTTATATACTCGAGGGAATACATTTTTTTAATTTTTTCTAACGTTTTTTACAATAGTCAAGGTAGCTCAGTTGGGTAGAGCGTTAGCTTGTAGAACTAATGGTCCCTGGTTCGATTCCAGGTCTTGGCAGTCATTTTTTAACTCCTCTGGCAATGGAATGAATGGGTCTCTTTAGTCCCGGGATCCTCCTTAACAGCGACAGGACAGTGGTATTCCTGTTTAGACATAACCTTTCCGCCGTTGTCTGCGTCTTCTTCTTCTTTTTGACTCCACTTTTTTTCTTGGCGGGTCCCATTTTGGGTCCTTTGACGAAATTCATTATGTTAAACTTGGGGTTCTTTCCTTTTTTAACCTTCTTTCTCTTAGGAGTAGGAGGTTTGCGATTCATTTGCCTATCCAAGGCTTCATTTTGTCGAGCAATGGCTAGCATTTCAGGGTTATTTTTGGCTTTTTCCATCAACTTTTGAATGATCTTTTCGAACCCTTCCTTGGTGGTCTTGGCGCCTGGTGTGAGTTCCTTTCCAAAGGTTGAGTTCATGTAATCCGCTAACAAAGGTTGAGACTTTGAAGATTTTAGAGATGTCAGGATACGTCTACTCATACTCTCGTTTAAGAAGAGTGGAGTGAGAGTTGTGGAGGGATGTCTATTTATACTACCCCAACAAAGGTGTGCAAACAAGGCAATGAATAGCAGCAGGGAAGTCTTCATGATGTACTGACAAGAGGAGTAATTTTTCATCCTTATATGGGAGACATAGAGCACACGTGATTGACTTTTTAACATTTTTTAATAACAATTTAATGTTATACATCTGCTTAAGAAGAACAGGAAAACTAACATGACAATAACAATAACAATAGAGAAAACTAAGGCGATACAACTTTCGTCCTGAAAAGAGAAAAGGAACAAATTATAACCTATTTGAGGTCATTTGATAACAACAATCGCAATGATATTCTCGTTCAAAGTTATGTCTATATTGACTACTTATAATCTTCTTGGATATGTGAGCATGCATCCTTTCTAACAATAGGTAGTGCGTTTCATACACATTACAAGAACAATGATTAGGTGATAACAGAGGTTTAAGACATTTGATTACTTCTACATATTTCTTGTACGCCTTCTGAAAAAGATTAAACGTAACAAGTATGGCAATGAGAATATGGTTGATGGAATTCTGATTTTTTTTGCCTATAACGTTTACCCATAAGCCTTTTAGCTGTATGTACAATGGTATCTACTAAGAAGTAATGGGTTTCATATACTTTGCACGAACAAAGCGAAAGATATTCTATATCAATTGGTTTAAGACATTCGATCAAATTTACATGTTTAAAAAATCCTGGATATTCCTTGCCCATAATCTGAAAAAAATCGAAAAAAAAAGTCTCGCATACAAATAAGATGGCAATTGGAGCAGTGTTCAGTCAACCATATTCTCGGATACTTTCTACCCCTTAACTTCCTACAAATATGTAGGTCATAGATATTTACATTATCTGAATTGCATTGAAGATAATGCGTTTCATACATTTCACAATCGCAAGCCAGAAAGCGTCTTGTTTTTAGAAATCTAATTAAGCTCGGACTGACTGATGCCAAAGTGTTCTGTCGAAAAGTGAAAAAATATTTTACATAAATATGAATCGAATAATCATTTTCTGATTTTCTAATAGGACATTCTGTAGAAAAAAGGAAAAAAAATAATTACTTAAAGTATCCAGTAACCGCGACGAAGTTGGTGACAAGTACTACAATGAAGTCTTGAATGTTTAGTACGATACTTTTTACCATATATTCTTACAGCAATATGAAGTGAATACCATAAACCATCTTCTGATGTATTCAAAGTAATGAAATGCGTTTCGTCAAAATGACAAGTACAATCTCTATCGTCATTATCACAAGGTCTTAAAAATGCAAGGAATCGATTATTACTATTCTTCCTATATTCTAATATGACAGTCTGTAAAAAAGAAAAAATTAAACGTCATACTCAATATACTCAGGCATCATCATACTTAATACACGCGGTGAACTTTTAGCATCATATACGAATAGATTGTATATATCTTTTCCATAGTTCCATATGAAGAGGAATCTAGTTATCTAAAAAAATTAAATAAAATTTCTATTGTAAGTGTCTCGTCCGTATTTTCTGATGAAATGATGTCTAATCATCTATAAGAAATGAAAAAAAGTTTATGAGCAAGGAGAGAAATGGACTCGACGATCTCTATTAAATATTTCTTTTCCGTATTTTATGACGAATTGGTTTCTAATCATCTACAAAAAAAGAAAAAATTAACGTCTTATTACATATGTGTGACCATTTTCGTTTAATTCATTATCGGTTCGTTTTTGCCTTTCGCAAATGAAAATATCGTTTTTGCTCACAAAAAGGTAGTGTGTCATATTTGAACCACATTCGCATAGATGGTCTTGGGGTTTTAGACAAGTTATTATGCCGTTAATGATCTGAAAGATAGAAAAAAAGAAAAAAATCTACAAGTCTCCCGCGTGTAATAGGTAGCACGTGTCACAATGATAGACAAAATTATAATCATTAGTGGCCATTTCACGATATCTTTTCCTTTTGATTTTTCTATTAATATGAAACATATTTCTATCTGGATCGAATGAAAGATAATGAGTGTATCTATATCCACAATTACAACCGTTTATATAACGCGTCGAATGTTTTAAACACGTTGTCATAGAAGTTGTCGATCCTTTTATAGCATTCTGAAAAAAATTTAAACGATACCACGTTTTAAGGGGATACGTCTTATAGGATTTATTAAATAAGAGATTGGTTTGTGAAAAGCTTCAATGAAAAAATGAGTCCTCAGAGAACATCCCAATGGTTCGAATCTCCACGAATGAAGAAGGATTGAAAGCGAGTCCACATTGTCAAGATGATCTCCAGTGTAGGAGCGCATATTTCTCTATAAATAACAAATAGAATTGGACGGTGTAACTACAATCTTAAAACGTCTGTCTAACGTGTACTTTCGTAATAAAATTGGTTCAACGATAGTAGTATTATGCATCAATAATATAAAAAAGTTAGTGAAAAGGGCGGCTTCATTATTGACTACTGCATGAAGTAGATCTGAAATGTGTCGTACTTGAAAACGTGCGACATAATCCACGAGAACCATCTAAGAATAAAGGGAAAGTGGAGCATTTTCAAAACCCAATCTCTCATAGACTTCTAACGAATAATTTCGATAATAACGTCTGTGAATAACAAAGAAATGTGGTGTAATATTAACGAAATGGGTCACATCCGCTGGACAATTACAAATGGGGTCATTTAACGGCCTTAATATGCCATTTTCTATACCATGACTTGTCAGGAGTATCTAAACCCAAAAAGAAACATGTTTAAAATGTTGGAATGATGGTATATATGTAGCTTTCTTGATAATCACAAGTGGATGAGTCACAGTTATCTATGATAAAGAAGAGTTTTTTATAAAAAAGATGTTTTTCATTTGTTTAAAATTAACACGATTGAATAATGCTGGTATATAAGCAAGTCTCCTCATAATCCTAAGTGGTTCAATCACAGTTATCTAAGATGAAATAAGAGAGGTCTTAAAAAAAATAATAATTAATCTGTTTGAATGATGTTGTTGTATAACCATCTCTCCCGATAATCCTAACTGGTTCAATTGCAGTTATCTAAAAGAGAGGTTTTGTAATTATAATACCATAACGTCTCATAGCTATCTAGGATAAAGAAGAAGAAACAACACCTTTACTTATACTATAGGTGTAAATGTATTTCGGTTTATCATCGTCGTAAATCAACTCGCAAAAGTTCGTGTAGTTAGGATCATAATCACTGTTTAAAGTGGGATGTATCCAATTATATACAGACGCCATCAGTACTGTTATGAAGTTCTACAAAGAAAAAAAAATCTTACTCGAATTTTTTATGGACAAGTAAAAACGCCTTTACGTATCTTGTAGAGGAAACATCCATATTGTTCATGATGATCAAACCATTCCATACGGCAAAAATAAGTGACGAGAGGATGATATTTGTGTAAAGTTCCTTGATTCCCGTCTCTATTGACGATTTTCTGATTTGTAACAACAATTGGCAACGTATAAGGTGAATCGATGATTAACAAAGCCGAGTCGTTTATCACATTGTATAACCTTATAAGCATACATCTGTTTTTTAGAAAAAAATAAAATACCAATTAGAATTAGAATTGACCAAAGTAATCAAAACTGTTATTAGATAGAAATAAACCAAAATCAAAGTTGTCAAATTGATGAATGATGGTATGAGTGAGCTTCTGAAACGAAATAAAAAAAAATACCTTAAGGATGGCGTCTTTGTTGAATCCTTTTCTTTTTGAAGCTCATACCAAATACCCATCGGGGTAACCGAACTTGATAGCCCTTATCTGAACGTAAAGCCCACAGCCCACGTAATAATGTTAATCTGGAATAAGTTGAACGCTTCAAAAATATAAAAAAGACTTTTAGAATATGAAGTGCGAGCCAGTAAGACGGTAAATTAAAGTACATATGATAGAAGTATTACGAGCAAGTGGGTGTTGACGCCCTTCACTTACGAGATGTTTGTGAACGTTGCGGAAGAGTTCCTTCTTACGTTCGATCTGTCTTTTGTTCCATAGATTGACCAATGTGTCTGTGTGTTGGCTTGGCATGTCTTCAATAAAATACATCAGCTGTAAAAAAGAGAAAATATTTTTTTAGAAAAAATTCATTTGCTCTTTTTATAAAAATCAAATACTTACGTCGTCTAAAGTTAGGAACTTCTGCATGGTGGTGTGCAATAAGAAATACAGAATGTATAGACGTATTTCAAAGGGTAGTCGCTGGATATTGTTCCTCAATAGAACGTCTTCTTTTTTGATGGCAAAGGAGTTCAGAGTCAAAGGTACAGCTTTAACCACTATGTCATCTGGCACCGTCTCATCTGACATCGTCTCGTCTGACATCTTGCCCAATGTGAAGCGTACCTCGAATGATCTCTCCTTTTATACATACGGTAGAGATGGCGTGACGGTCACGCTAAGGGTAGGGGGATGGGGGGGTATCCCCTAGTAAGGTTCCCTAGGGAAAGGGTGGCGTGGAG